CAACCCAGACCCCGGAGACGGAAAGACCACCTTAGAGAATGTAAGGATCTTTGGAAAGAGACGAGGATATACACAGAGAAAAAATATCGAAAGAACACCGAGCAAACCACTAAGAACGAGAACACTAAGAGGCAGAACGAGGGGGCAAAACGAGACCACACTCTTCACAGACGGATCGACAAAGCGAAATGGATGGGAAAACAGCCAAGCAGGAATTGGCTGCTGGCATAAAGAAGGGAGTGACAAAAACATCGCAATGAAACTCACCGGTAACACCCAAACAAACCAGAGAGCAGAGCTTGCGGCAATACTGGCAGCCCTCCAACGAAACCGTAACACCCCATTGATAATAAAATCAGACTCGCTAACCAGTGTAAAAGCAATATGCTATAAACTAAATGAGTGGGAGGACACAGGCTGGCACAAAGTAAAGAACGTAGATATACTAATGAACATACTGGACGAACTAAGAACAAGGCCCACGCCTTGCTCGTTCCAGTGGGTGAAGGCACACGCCGACAACGAAGACAACAACCGAGCAGATGGCCTGGCAAATGAAGGCAGGATAAGCGAAACCATTTTCGAAATCCCAGAAATGGGCCCAGAAACAAGCAGAGCCATACACGATGGGGCAAGACTATGCAAACTGACGATGAAAACCGCATACGAAGAAATGATAGCGAGAAAGATCCTAAAAAAAGAAAAGATAAGACATCCGGAATATCTAGAAGATGCAAAAGAACTCATTGAGAAAGAGACCGGCCTAAGACCACCCACAGAATCAATGATAAAGGGAATATGGAAGTCCCCGCCCCAGAGTTCTCTAAGTCTTTTCTTCGCTTTCTCTTGTCGTTTTTGCGAGGTTTCGAACTTAAGTGCGTCCCATGATTTTGTGACATGTTCACAGAGAGAGCTTCGTAGGTATTTTTCGGGTTCTGATTTCGGTATCTGTTGGTCTTTTATCGCTCTGTTGTTTCTCGCTTTCCAAATCGCCCATACTGACATCGTCACTAGTATTCTTGCCCTTTCCGCGTCTTTATTCCTTTGTGGATTACCTGTTTCGTCCGGGAAGGCTAGGCCTCCAATTCCTCTTATTAGTCCATTTACTGTCATCAGATATAGAGATCTTGAGACCACTAATGCCTTTGCTACTCGGGATCGGGCTAGCATGGTTG